CAACCCCCAACATCAGTCCAGGGGCTGAGCAGCTCCAGAGAGTAGAGCTTCTGGGCACTAAAGGGCGCCACATACAAATATGAAACATCAAAGGACCGGGTTCAAAGCAAAATCCCACAAACACCAGAAAAAGGAAAAAGTGAAACTGAACTCATCAATCTTCCTGAAAGAAAGTTCAAAGTAAAAATCATAAACATGCTCATGGAGGTACAGAAAAATATTCAAGAACTCAGGGATGAATTTAGGACAGAGATTCAATCATTGAGAAATTCCATATCTGAAATGAAACATACAATGGAGGGATTTAAAAGCAGATTAGATGTAGTACAAGAGATGGTAAATGGAATAGAAATTAGAGAAGAGGAATACAAAGAAGCTGAAGCACAGAGAGGAAAAAGGATCTCTGGGAATGAAAGAATATTGAGAGAACTGTGTAGCCAATCCAAATGGAACAATATTCGCATTCTAGGGGTACCAGAAGAAGAAGAGAGAGAAAAAGGGACAGAAGGTGTCTTTGAGGAGGTAATTGCTGAAAACTTCCCCAGTCTGGGGAAAGAGATAGTCTCTCAGGCCATGGAGGTGCACAGATCTCCCAACACAAGGGACCCAAGGAAGGCAACACCAAGAACTAATAATTAAAATGGCAAAGATCAAGGGTAAGGGCAGACTTTTAAAAGCAGCTAGAGAGAGAAAAAAGATTACATACAAAGGAAAACCCATCAGGCTATCATCAGACTTCTCAGCAGAACCCTTTCAGGCCAGAAGGGAGTGGCGTGATATATTTAATGCAATGAAATAGAAGGGCCTCAAACCAAGAATACTCTATCTGGCAAGATTATCATTTAAATTTGAAGGAGGAATTAAACAATTTCCAGATAAGCAAAAGCTGAGAGAATTTACCTCCCACAAACCACCTCTACAGTGCATTTTGGAGGGACTGCTATAGATGAAGAGTTCCTAAGGCTGAATAGCTGCCACCAGAGGAATTAAAACCACTGTAAAGAAAATAGAACAGTTAATTACTAAGCAGATGTAAAATCAAATCAACTACCCCCAAAGTCAATTGAGGGATAGACAAAGAGTACAGAATATGATTCATAACATACAAAGAATGGAGGAGGAAGAAAAAGGAGGAGAAAAAAAACCTTTAGATTGTGTTTGTAATAGCCTACTAAGTGAGCTAAGTTAGACTCTTAGATAGTAAGGAACTTACCCTTGTACCTTTGGTAACCATGAATCTAAAGCCTGCAATGGCAATAAGTACATACCTATCGATAATCATCCTAAATGTAAATGGTCTGAATGCACCAATCAAAAGACATAGAGTCACTGAATGGATAAAAAAAAAGACCCACCTATATGCTGCCCACAGGAGACTCACTTCAAACCCAAAGACATACACAGACTGAAAGTGAAGGGTTGGAAAAAGGTATTTCATGCAACTAATAGGGAGAAAAAAACAGGAGTTGCAGTACTTGTATCAGACAAAATAGACTTGAAAACAAAGAAAGTAACAAGAGACAAAGAAAGACATTACATAATGATAAAGGGGTCAGTGATTACAAATAATAAAATAATATAAACTTCCTCCACTATCCAAAAGTAGAGCATTCCTATGAAACCTTTTGAAGCTAAAATGGCATCAAGCAAAGGAACAATTACTGTAAAATTTTTTGTTTGTTTTTTGTTTTTTATGTACTGAACTTTGTTTTTATTAATGTAAAGTCTAGATCATTAACTTTCATATACAGATAAATATAGAATACCCATAAGATGTGATTCTTCTACACAGATTAAAGGTTATACCTGTCATATTTGCTTCAGACATCTAAAGTACCCCCTCCTGCCCACTCTATCTTACTCCTGGTCCTAAAGAAACTGCCATAGTGAGATTGGTGTGCACATCTCACAGGCTTATTTTTATACTTTTACAATATATGCATGTGCTTGTAAACAATGTATGATACTGTTCTAAGTTTTAATCCAAGCAGTATCAGATTATAAAAATCTTTTCTTAGGAACATTTTTAAATTATACTTTCAACAGTTTTTTTTTAACTTAAGCATTTTTTTATTAAGGTATTATTGATACAATCTTACAAAGGCTTCACGTAAGCACCATTGTGGTTATTACATTCAACCATGTTATCAAGTCCCCCAAACACACCCCACCACAGTCACTGTCCAACAGCATAGTAAGATGCTATAGAGTCCTTTGTCTTTACTGTGTATATTGCCATTCCCGGGACCCCCCCCCTATTATGTGTGCTAATCATAATGACCCTTAATCCCCTTCTCCCTCACTCTCCACCCACCCTCCCTACCCCCTTCCCTTTGGTAACTGCTAGTCCCTTCTTGGAATCTGTGAGTCTGCTGTTGTTTTATTTCTTCAGTTTTGCTTTGTTGTTATGCTCCACAAATGAGGGAAGTCATTTGGTACTTGTCTTTCTCCACCTGGCTTATTTCACTGACCATAATACCTCTAGCTCCATCCATGTTGTTGCAAATGGTAGGATTTGTTTTCTTCTTATGGCTGAATAATATTCCATTGTGTTTATGTACCACATCTTCTTTATACATTCATCTACTGATGGACACTTAGGTTGCTTCCATATCTTGGCTATTGTAAATAGTGCTGTGATAAACATAGGGGTGCATCTGTCTTTTTGAATCTGAGAACTTGTATTCTTTGGGTAAATTCCTAGGAGTGGAATTTCTGGGTCAAATGGTATTTCAATTTTTAGTTTTTTGAGGAACCTCCATATTGCTTTCCACAATGGTTGAACTAATCTACATTCCCACCAACAGTGTAGGAGAGTTCCCCTTTCTCCACATCCTCACCAGCATTTGTTGCTCCTAGTGTTTTTTATGTTGGCCATCCTAACTGGTGTGAGGTGATACCTCATTGTGGTTTAATTTGCATTTCCCTGATAATTAGTGACATGGAGCATCTTTTCATGTGCCTGATGGCCATCTGAATTTCTTCTTTGGAGAAGTGTCTGTTCAGATCCTCCATCACTTTTTAATTGGGTTATTTGCTTTTTGGATGTTGAAGAGCATGAATTCTTTATATATTTTGGATGTTAATACCTTATCAGATATGTAACTTATGAATATATTCTCCCATACTTGAGGATGCCTTGTTGTTCTACTGATGTTGTCCTTTGCTCTACAGAAACTTTTCAGTTTAATGTAGTCTCATTTGTTCATTTTTGCTTTTGTTTCCCTTGCACAAGGAGATGTGTTCAGGAAAACGTTGCTCATGTTTATATTCAAGAGATTTTTGCCTATGCTTTCTTCTAACAGTTTTATGGTTTCATGACTTACATTCAGGTGTTCGATCCATTTTGAGTTTACTTTTGTGTATGGAGTTAGACAATAATCCAGTTTCATTGTCTTACATGTAGCTGTTCAGTTTTGCCAACATCAGTTGTTGAAGAGGCTGTCATTTCCCTATTGTATGTCCATGGCTCCTTTATAGTATATTAATTGACTATATATGCTTAGGTTTATATCTGGGCTCTCTAGTCTGTTCCATTGGTCTATGGTTCTGTTCTTGTGCCAGTACCAAATTGTCTTGATTACTGTGGCTTTGTAGTAGAGCTTGAAGTCAGGGAGCATAATCCCCCCAGCTTTATTCTTCCTTTTCAGGATTGCTTTGGCTATTTGAGGTCTTTTGTGGTTCCATATGAAGTTTAGAACTATTCATTTAGTTACTATAAATGTATATGGAAATTTTTGAGCCTTTCTCAGCCCAAAAACCTCTTAGGTTTTTCTGATCCTTTAGGACACATCCTGTTAACTGATGCACAAAATAAATCGCAATAAAGACCGATGGTCACAGACACAGTTCAGAGCTATGGCGATGTGATGCTGAGATGCTGAGTGTGGTTCCCAGGAAAGGAGCATGGTGGGGTTTCTCTGCTCAGGTGCCTGCTGCCTCTATAAGGGCTCACTGCAAAATACTGGGCACTATTTTCACTTTTCACCTTTTGATGTAAAAGTGAAAATCCTCTGGATTTCTTTCAGTTAGTGAAAACAGGTACTAATATAGATATCTTTTGTAAAAGCAAAGTAGCATAACATGCACTTTCAAAAAGTGGGGCACACGTGTATTGTTTTAAGCCTCTAAATTTTGGAGTGATTTGTTATGTGCCATAGGCACCTAAAACACCTCCTTACAACTCCGTAGCTATGATTATTCCATGTCACAGATGAAGCTAGAGCTGAGTGACTTGCCCACAATTATGGAACAAGCAAGTGGCTGATGCAGCATTCAAACATAAATTTGTATTAACAAAACAATTTAAAATACATAATCTGACTTAGGGAGCCAGAAGGGACATTAGGACTACTGTCCAACCTCCCTCATTCTATAGTCAAGGAAACTGAAGCTCAGAGGGTGGGAGCAATTGGTAAAAAGTCACGCATTTGGGGAGTAGCAGAGGTGGGACTGTAGATTAGAAGCCCAGTTCTCCTGACGCCACCCACTGCTCTTTCTCTGCCCTCCATGGCTGGTCTGACAAGCCTTCCTCACACATTTCCTCACATACTCTGGGGCCAAGTCACCTAGCTGAGAACATTTAGGGAACATCTGGCCATGTCTAGACTCATCTTTGGCTGTTATGATGCAGAGCAGGAAAGTAGTACTGGCTGGAGTGGGTGGAGGCCAGGAATGTTGCTAACCTCCCTACAACAGGTCGGCCCCACAACAAAGAATTCTCCAGCCCAAAATGTCAATAGTGTTGAAGTTGAGAGAAACCCTGGTCTAGAGAAACTCATGCCCACACAAGGTTCATTGCCTGCGTGAGTCTTCCCTTGTTTTCCCAAGGCTTAGGTTGCTTAAGGCCAAATGAACAGCATCTACAACAGTCATTTTCACCTACTGAAAAATAACAAAGTGGATGGAGAGGTATTAAGGAAATCTCCAGCAGGAAACACCTATCACAGGAGGGCCCTGGCATTTTCAAGACTCTGAGGCTCCAGATTTGATTAGCTACAATTAGTTTATTGGAAACAGAAAAACAAAGGCAAACAAATGTGCAAGCGGTTGAGTTATTGGCTTTTTAGAAGCTTCTGCAGGCAGCCCTGGGAGGAGATGCTCTCCCTACCATGGGTCATTTCTCTCACAGAGCTCCAGGAAAACCACCATCAATGTTCCTGGCCTCCGTTCCACAGGTACAGCACCCTGGCAGGTTCCCAGGAAGTGCAGATAGGGAGATCATGGGGCCTGCCCTGTTCCTCCAGGCTTGGGTGTTGGGGTCAGGCAGGAACAATGAATCCAGCAAAAAACAGAAGGTAGAAGAAAGGATGAATCCTCAGAACAAGTGGACTACTAGGAAAAGTGACAGCAAAAGGCCAAGGTGCCACCCCAGCCCGGCCAGGGCTCAGGGCACCAGGGGATGACACAGAGGGAGCAGGTAGGGAGGACATGATGCAGTCTGTACACCTCTGGCAACTGGTTCCCGGGAGCCATGGCAGGTAGGTTGTGGGGCAGCGGGCAGGGCGTTCCATTTGGGCTAGGTCCTGACAGGGTGGAGGGGGCCGTGGGTGGCAGCCTCCTAGCACTTCTTACAGCCCACACTGCAGGCACTGACACCAGTGCAGGGGGCACAGGGGGCGGCAGTGCCCACCACCATGTTGCCGCTGCAGGGGGCACTGCAGACTCTGGTGCTGACAGCAGGGGTAGCACCGGAGGCGCAGAGATCGCCACAGACGACGCCACCGCGGGAGCTGCTGACGCCTGAATGGGTGGGGCGTGGGGGGGGAGAACAGGCAGAGAGGCGCGTCAGGCCCAGCCATAGCCTGGCGGCTTTGGGGCAACCAAAACCACCCCCACCCCACAGGACTCAGGACCACCCCAGCTACAGAAGGGGGAGGGCTTAAGCTACTTACAGACATTCACACTGCCAACGCCCTCACACAGCCTGTTGGAGGAGGAAAAGAGAGAGGTTAGTGCCATTCAAAAGCCACCCCGCCCAGCGACCAAGGTGGAAAGGCAAACCCATGGCCCTCCTGTGTGTGTGCTCAGGGGGACAGGCCACGAGAAGGCCAATGCAGATGCCAGGGAAGCCTGGAAACCATGCAGCTCCTGGAGGCAGACACCTGGTGCACCTGGCTCTCTGCTCCTTACTAGCTGAGCACCTTGGACAGACCCTCCCCCAACCTGCCTCCCCATGGAAAAGTCTTCTCCTAGATCTGTTGTGAGGATGAAATCAAGGCATATATGTAAGTACTTAATGCCTACCACATAGTGGGCAGTTCAGATGTCAGCTGCTACCGTTTCTGTTGGTTCTGAGGGGCAGCAGATTTAACCTCCTAAATCTGGTCTCACTGGTGTCACTAGTTGGTGAGCTTCAGGAGGCAAGTGTTTTGTCTTTTCCCATTTGCAGAATCAACAGTGCCTACAACAATCCCTGGGTCAGTAGATAACTGTTGCACTGAATGAATGGGATTTTGCAACCCATTTAGAAAAGGCTCAGAGACTATCTACACCAATTCCCTCATTTGACAGATGGAGAAACTGAGGCCCAGAGAGTGTACATAATGAGTGGTAGAGGCAGGGCAATAGCACGGGCCACCTAACTCCCAGACCTCATCTCCTTCCCACATTTAAGGGAAGTGTGTCCTTAAGGGAAATACACCTGAATCCCTCTGATGCACTGTGACAAAAGCCTGTCGAACTCAGCTTCAGATATGAGGAGAATCCACAGCCCACCATCTATTCATCCCATGCCCAGATTTTCTAGGAAACCCACAGCAAGGCTAAGTCCACTCCTAGAGCCCTGGGTGGGGGAAGGGTGGGCGCTCAGTTTCCAGTGCCCTCTCCACATACGCATCTTTCCAACTTCCAGATTCAATCTTGAAAAACTCTTCCTCTCTGGATTCTTCACTAAGGAACTCCCCAGACCCAGTTGACCCCAGCGCCTCTGAGCTTTCCAGTTCATTTACTAGAGTGTGTTGTGAGTCCTGCCATGTGATCACTTTGAATCCAGCTACCAAAGCCGCATGCCAATTCCCCAGCATACAGGTGCTCCCTCTGTGCCCTCAACCTCCACTCTCTCTGCTCAGGCCAGGGAACTAACTGGCTGTACGCAAGCGGAAGCTCGGGAGCACCTGGCAAACCTGGGGGAAGAACCCAAAGGCAACATTTTGGGTGTGTTGTCCTCAGAGAAGCTATTCAGCTGCTCTGCAGCCATAGGAAGGCTCAATGACCAATGCATCTCCCCAGGCCCTAAAGCAAGCAACACACAGAAGGGCCCAGAGCAGGGCATAGCTGCCTCAAGGGACAAGTCCCTGCTATCTGTCTACTGTCCATCCAACCTGCTGCAATGGAAGAGCAACTCAGGGGTACACACTGTAGTTAGAATGTGTAAGGGTCCGGTGTGCCCTACTGAAGCTATCATTATGGGATAACTCTGAACTCCCAGGGCTGGGGCCAGGGCCAGACTTGAGAGACAGCTGGAATCCTGAGGGATATACCCAATGAGGGCCCAGGAGGGAAGAAGCACGAACCAGGGGAGATGGCCCCAGACCCAGGATAAGCTTCTCAGGAGCAGCAATTACTATAGCCTGACTCCTGGTTCTGAGGAACAGACTTGCAAAAGGCACTAACTCCAGCTCAGCACCTAAGTGGGCATAAGAGACTCAAGTGGGGCTACAAACAGCCAAACGACTTACTCAAATTACCTGTCCAGTTGCAGGATAGAGAGGTTTGGAAACAGGAGTCAAGTGCTGCCAGGAATGTGAGGGACAGGGCACCCTGAGAACCCAGGCAGAGCTGGGAGAGAAAACTGGCTATGGTACCCACCTCTGCTCCTCGCCCTCCAGCAGGCGCCTGTAGGTGGCGATCTCGATGTCCAGGCCCAGCTTGGAGTTCATCACCTCCTGGTACTCCTTGAGCAGGCAGGCCATGTCCTGCTTGGCCTTCTGCAGGGCGGCCTCCAGCCCCGCCAGCTTGCAGCGGGCATCGCTGAGGGCGGCCTCACCCTGCTGCTCGGCCTGGGTCACTGCAGCCTCCAGCTTGGAGTTCTAGGGCCCCAGGAGAGAACAAGGTGGGTTATGGTCCCTGGGACCCCCTGGCCATCTCCTGGTTGTGTCTGGTCTCTCCCAGCCAGTGGGGAACATCCAGGACAGGGCTCTTGCCTTCACCACCTGAGTTCCCTAAGTGGCCACAACCAGGGACTCTAGACATGCAAACGGGCTGGGGAAGAATGGTGAGATCCATCCTGGGCACACACTGCCTGTGGGACTCTAGGGAGGCCCCACGACCCATACCTGGCACTTGGCATTCTCGACCTCCGCGGTCAGCCTCTGGATCATGCGGTTCAGCTCATTGATCTCCTCCTTGGTGCGGCGCAGGGTCTCCCCATGCCGGATCACTGTGGCCTTGATCTCCTCGCACTGGGGGGAAGCAGAGATGCTCCTGAGGATCAGGATGGGAACCCTACCCATTCAGGTAACCATGGATGATTGTGCAGTGCTCAGCCTGTGCAACCGTATAGGGCAGCCCTGCCCTGCCACTACAACCTGAGAGTTGTCTGCCCTTCTGTTACCATCTCTAGAGATCAGCACCCACAGACAAGAGACCATTTCTGATACATATCTTGTATCCTTCCCACTGCCATGTCTAGGAGGCAGGCATCCTGGGCCACTCACCTTGGTGCGGTACCAGGACTCAGCCTCAGCCCGGCTGCGACTGGCGATGTCATCATACTGAGCCTTTATCTCAGCCACGATGCTGTCCATGTTCAGATCCCGGCTGTTGTCCATCTTGACGATGACTGAGGTGTCTGAGATGTGGGACTGGAGAACGCGGATCTCCTGCAGATGGTGGGGGGTGGGAGGATGGAAGGATCTCGTTCACACCACACCCTCACCCACAGTGTATACCCAGTCCTCTCAGCCCTTCACTGGTCTCCAACCTCTGCCCTCTGGACAGTCTCATGGTCTGCAGCCCCCTACCCAAACCACTGCCCAACTCCAGTTCCAGGCCAAAGCCCTCTCTTCCAGGCTAGCTAACAGTGTTCTGCCTGGACCACAGCCTCTCACCTCCTCATACAACTGCCGCAGGAAGTCGATCTCCTGGGTCAAGGCCTCCACATTGGCCTCCAGGTCTGACTTGTGGACATAAGCACAGTCCACATCCTGGACAAACAGAGAGTCTTTGAGTTCAGAGAACCCCTAGTGACCATTGCCCCAAACTCTTCTCTCTTCCCCCCACTCCCCTGCACCATTTATGGAGGCCAGGGGGAAAGGATTTCTCACGCTGTAAGAAGTCTGCCCAAACTGACTCCCCACGTGGCCACCTGGACCACTCCCTGTCCCCCAGCACTCCTCTAAGACTCCACCTGGCCATTCCTGTTTCTGCTCCAACCTCCCCCATGCTCTGGGACTATGCACCTCCTCTTGATCAGACTTCCCACAGTGCTAGATAGGACACTGCCCCTCAACATAGAAATATAGAAAGTTGCCATGCCTCCATGGGACCCTAACCACAGAGCACTTCTGAGGCAAAGATGAACATCCTTAGGTCAACCCAGCCATCCCTTACCCCAGAGCAGGATGTTAGGTGATATTCCAAAGTTATTGCCCTTTGTCAAGGCGCTGGATGTGCTTTTCATGACTCAATCTCTAGGAATTCCCCATCCTGACATGGTAAGGTCATGCACCCCACAGTGAGGCTAAGACCTTCTGCGTCTCCTCAGGAAGACTGCCCGTCTGAGACCCTCATGTCTGTGCTTCCCAGCCCCATGTTACTCACCTTCTTCAGAGCCACAAACTCATTCTCAGCTGTTGCTCTCAGAGAAACCTCCTCCTCATACCTGAAGCAGAAGAGGACAGAAAGGGAGGTCATGGAAGGGTGGGTCTCCCCCAAAACCCCCTCTTTGTTATACCAATGGAAAGGGCAGTATTTGTAACCTCCCAACACAGTTGGACCCCTGGCAGCCCTGCTGGGTGCTTTCTGCTTAGATTTGGGATTTGTCTATGATTCTCTCCCCACTGTGAATTGAGGGATCCAGGGAGCTAACCTAGGACCTCACAGCCCTGATCCCACAGCTGCTGTGAGGTCATCTCAAGATACAGATGAGGACTCCGTGCCCTGCCTCATGCTGGGAGGACTGTATCACCTCTGGCAGCCCCAGCCTACCCTCACCTGGGTGTCCATCCTAGCTCAGGTGTAGGAGGGCCTGTGAAACCCATCAGCCATCAGCACTCAGCTCCCAAGGCAGTGGGACATCCAGAGCCCCCGGACCTGTCATCCTTGAGTCACCCAGATGCACACATCAGACCTATGTGTTACAGGCAGGAGCCTGAGAGATCAGGAAGAGAAAGCCTGAGAGAAGCTTTCTCGGGGGACAGAGCTCCTGGGGAGCAGTCCTGAGAAGAGAAGGCTGAAGTGCGGGAGAGCTATCTCCTGGCAGATTCATAGCCCCACTCTTAGGTGGGCACCTGGGCAACAACTGCACAGATAAGAAATCCTACTGCTCAGTCCACCCTGGCCTGCATAGCCACTCGCCCTTCTTGGAAATTCTTCTCGAGTCTAATGCAGTGAGTTTTAGACCCAAGTCCATTTCCAGTGCCCAAGTCACTCCCAGTCACACTCACTTCTTCTTGTAGCCCTCCAGCACCTCCTGCACGCGGTTGAGCTCAGAGGCCAGCCTCCCGCTGTCGGCCTCCGCACACTCGGCCTCCCGCCTCAGTGTCTCGATGTAGCCATTGAACAGCGGCTCCAGGTTACTCTCGCAGCACTGGCGGTTCTGGTAGAACTGCCACTTGGTCTCCAGCAGCTTGTTCTGCTGCTCCAGGAAGCGCACCTGCCATTCAAGGATAGGAGTGGGGGTCTTATGGCTCCTGATGCCCCAAAGCCAGTTTGAGGGATGGGAGTGGTTACTTTAAGGTGATCTCCCAAATCTGGAGCTCAGCAGAGATTAAGTAGAGGTGGGCAGTGCAAGGCAACTTCTGGATTTCCTGACTGTGATCTGTGTCTTTTTGCAATTTCAAATTGAGGGCAAGGGGCTAGAAGAGGTCAGTCCCTGCTCTCAGATTAACAGTAATCCAGACCTGATGAGTCCTGGTGGCATGTGGAGGTCAGGAGCCAGGTAGAGGGCTCAGCTCCTCACCCTGAAGTCAGAGGAGAAGCCCTCATAGGCAAAGCTCCAAGATCAGATCACAGCAGGGGGCTTCTGGGGCTGGGTAACCAGGGAGATAATGTCACAGGCCATCTGAGGAGAGCTCAGCTACCCTGGCTCCTCCCCTACTTCATCTGATAGCCAATCCACCCCCTTCAGCCTTAAGATGCAAAAACTTCTGATTTCAGAAGCAGCAGTCATTTTTGTCCTCAACTGCCTGATGTCTAGCTTGTGCCCCAGAGCAGCCAAGTGACACTCTCCTTCCACAAGTTCTGCCTATCTGAACTCTCAGCCAAATCTTTCTGGATCTTGTGTGAGTGGTTGTTTGTGTCTGTGCCTGCCTCTCCTGTCAAACTAGAGGTTCCCACAGGCAAAGTTCTGACAGCCTCTGACTCTGCTTCAGTGCCCAGTCTGAATACTAATCATGGGTGGAGTTCAGGCAGAGTGTGATCAAGGACACCCACCTTGTCGATGAAGGCAGCAAACCTGCTGTTGAGGCACTTGATCTGCTCCTTCTCCTCCTGCTTCACGCACTGCGCATTGGGGTCGATCTCCAGGTTGAGGGGCGTGAGCAGGCTCTCGTTGACGGACACGGAGGTGATGCAGGGCGGGGTGGGTCCAGACACGCCACCGGAGCGGTATCCGAAGCTGCGGCCACAGGAGCCAGAGCGGAAGGCCCCGCAGACACTGCGGCTGCCGAAGGCCCCGGTGATGCCGCGGTAGCAGGAGAGGCCGCTGTAGGGGGCTGCCGTGATGCAGCAGCGGCCTGGCCTGGGCCCACAGGCTGAGGCACAGCTGAAGGCCCCGCCAGCACAGTAAGATCCACAAGTCATGGTGCTTCTCGGGTCACTGGAGGCTCTGAGGAGGGAGATATCCTAATGGAGGGCACAGTGGAGGAGGTGTTTATGTCTTGGACATCTTTGGGCCCTTTATATATGCGGGGAGCCCAGTGCGTCCACAGGTTAAGAGCAATTAGACGTCTTTATGGGCTTGGGTTGTTTAGCTGCTGTCACTCCTCCCTTAATGCACTTAATTAGGGGCCAGATACGGCCGATGTTTACAGCCTTTTACCCTAAACTGCACAATTTTTGTCTTCAAAGGGCCAGCTCACTTCCCCCACACCCACCCGTGTATTCCCCATTCACAGCTGGTCAGAGTCAGGGATTGGAAGACGGGGGAGCCATGACTCAGGTTGGAACGATGGGAGGAGAAAGGCGGCGCTGCGGCTCCTCCTGTACCGCCCATTTGATGAGATCAGCGCTGCTGTCCGTGGTGCTAATCAGACGGCCTGGAACACTGAGATAGTGTGAGATCAATAGAAAAAGACGTGGCACCGGGGTGCTTTTGGTGATTTCCCTCACACTGATGGCTTCTTTCTGCACCACCAAAGGCCCACATTTACACAATCTCCTAACCACCCCACACAAACCCAACAACCCCACATCTGCTCTCAAATCCTTCACCTACCCGTATCAACATATTGTTTCTGTCTTTCTCTCTCACACACACTCATGCTATGCACTCCCACCCACAATCTCACACACACACTCACACGTGCTTTCATGCACACTCACCTACCCCCGCTTGCACACAGACCAATCCCTCAGCCAACTTCCTAGACCTTCATGGCCAGCCTATGCTGAGAGAAGGCATGCCCTCCCTCAGCATCTTCCATGAGGCCGCAGGGGGCACACACTAGCTCTCTGGCATCAGGTATGACCAACCACCTCCAACAAGGCCCCAAGCAAGGATAGCTTGTCTGGATTTCACCTCAGGCCTCCATGTTTCCTCCAGGGTCCAGAAAACTCAGGATGGACGCCACTGTTATGAGGCTGTGTAGCATCTGGCTCAGCATATAATAGAATCAGTCAAGACAGAGCCACAGGAGGAGAGCTCCCAGCCCCCAGCCACCATCCTCCTGAGTCTGTGCTGCTTTCCATTCTCTACCAATCCTGCAGCCCTCTCTCTTTTACAGCAGTTTATCAGTAACCTTGACAGATGTTAGAACAGATCCATCTTGGTATGTGCTATATCCATCCAGTGGGGCTAGTGTGGGCCTTGAGCCCAAGAAAACTGGTAGGAACCAAGACTCTACCCTGATTAGCTCTGCGTAACCTGAGGTCCAGGTATTTCACTTCTCTGGGAAATGGGCTAAGCTTTCCATCCCAGGGCTGCCTTGGAGAATCGTGGCTGTGCACATGCTCAGTAAGCTTCAGAGCACAGTGCAGATGTGCTTTGCTGTAATCATTAACAAGCAGGAGGCTCTAGGGCAGCATTTTTTCAGAATTCACATTGTGACCCATGAATTTTAATAGAGTAGAACAGAATAGAAAATATCAGCATGCATCACAGGTAGTAAGAATACTATTTCATGAACTTTTTGCTTCAATTGTATGTAGTATGTATGTATGTGTATAGTCACTGAGAAAAATTATTTCTTAATGTGATTGAAACTAATCAATGGTCTATTAAGATAACTAATCATGGCGTATCAGTTAAGAACACAGACCCAGATTCCAAACTGCCGAGTTTCTGAGACCAGTTCTGCCACTTTCTAGCTGTGTGATCTCAGGCAGTTACTTAACCTCTCTGAACCTCACTTCATGATTTATAAAATGGAGAATAATAGTACCACCTCATAAATTGTTATAAGGATTAGAAGAATTAACCCATGCAAAGCACTTACAACACAGCCTGACACTCTGTTTTAAGTATGTAATCATATCAGTAGTTGTTGGAGCTGTTGCAGTGGCTTTAGTGACAGGTTTCATGGGGAAACAGTGGTATGTGTTATCACCGTTGCCACTGCTGCTGCTGTGAATATGTCAGCAGGTTTGATGGCATATACCTATCCGCATTCCTAAACTACCTTGTAAAACCCCCACTAATGGTGCCTATCTTAAAAGCCTGGTATAAGAATTAAATTAAATAATGCATGGACAATGCTTAACTCAGTATCTGGCACATATTGAATAAGTGTTCAACAAGTGTTATCTACTATTATTCTACCATTGGGGTCAATCCAAGGGGCAGGGAGGACATGGGATCTTTGACTGTGGTTACTTCTTTTATCCTAGGAAAGAACCCAAAATCAAGTGCACCTCCTTCAATCCCCACTCTAGTGCAGCTGCCCAGGGAAGGCCCAGTGGGAATCTCTCCTCTTAGACAAAGTGAAAATGTCACCAACCCTTGGGCAATCATACTACTGGATGAAAAGAGAAGCTTAGACAATCCAAAAAGTCCATTTTCTAAGAATAGTTCATAAATTTGTATTTCTTATTTGGCCTTAATAGACCATCAGAAATTCCCAGCCATAAATCAATGACATGCCCACTCATCTTACTGTTTGCCTGATCCTAAAGCTTCCTGGTTGGTCAGTAGCCCAGAGGTACAATGGGATTGAGGGTGGGGGGTATGCCACTGATAGTCCATCCAAGTATATTGGAATTCCAAAGGGAGCAAGAGAAATCAGGCTTTCAGTGAAGCTGGACAGCTGGGTGTTGGAGTTGAGGAAGAACTTCCCAGGACAGGCAGTCATGGTTTCCTAAAGGAACTTGTATTATGTCTCCCATTTAGGGAGCTTTATATAAAACAGAAACACTCTTTATTCTGGAGTGGCCACCATATTTGTGGAGGCAGGAAAAATCAAAAGACCTTCAGATTTAGAGATCAGAGCCTTTTCTTTTAGCTCAGGTGAATTTTGTTTCAAGGGATGCCTGGCAAGAAGAAACAAATTGTGTAGTTTTAACATTAGGAAGTTCTTATTCAAGGCTCCCTTTAGTCCATTCTGTTCCTGCAGAGGATGTTATAAGACAGATTCCCCAAGATGGATGATGGGTTAGACAAGATAATATCTTCCTGGGGTATTCAGGAATTCTGTGATATATCCTTTCTGTATGCTGAGCCCTGTCTGAATTTTGGAGGGATGGAAGAAGAAAGAGACATGGTTTCTGGAGCTCCCAATCTGACAGGGAAGACAGATCCACATTCATGAGAAAGTCCAAAAGTCTGAAGAGGGCTCCTTTTCAGCTGTACCATCAGATGCTCAGGAATGTAATGTTTACTGACAGTGCTTGTTCTGGGGCAATGTAGGATGCAGCTTGTCTGGTGGGAAAGGGAAGAAAGGTTCCCTGGAAAGGGTGAGGATAGGCGTCAGAAAGAAGGAAGGTGAGACAATTTGGTAGTAAGGTGTTCATGGAGGTATTTCAGAGAGTACACAGTAGGGGCACTTGAGTACCCCTGCAGAAGAGGAGGGGATGGTGAGATGTGGCAATGGAAGAGCACCAGTTGAGGCGGAGACCTCAGAAGCAGGGCCAATGTCACCTACAGGACCCTGTTCCATGACCGCAGGCTGAGAGGCAGCCTGTGGGCTCTACATCTGAAGGTTACCAAAGCAGCTGCACACCAGGCTTGTAGGGACCCAAGGGGTCATGCCCTTTCTAACCTTGCAGCTCATGATTTCTCTTCCTAGAAAGCAGGCACAAGCCAGGTTCCAGTGAGAGAAATTAAGGGGCTAGGGAGTGGCTGTATACACAACATCCAGGCTATTGATGAGGTAGCTGACGTCAGATCCAGCCACCAGGCAGGGTGATTGGGTTGGTGAGTTAAGGAGAGGCCCAAGTCAGACCCCTGCCTCTTGAGCCAAGACAGCCCGGAATAATGGTCAATTATCCATGAGAACTCACCAGAGGAAGTAAGTGCCAAAGGCTTTCATGGAGATCCTGAAGGAGGGATGAGGCATGACTCAGGTGCCCTGCCCTTAGTGAGGTCCATCCCACAAACTGGGCTGAGCTCCTGCACCTCCCCACCTCACAGCCCTTCCCTGTGAGGGTTCATTGCTATAAAGCTGGAGCCAAGGTTGCCTACCTCTTTTACACCTTACTGCGTCCCCATTCCCATCAACCTCTTCTTCAGCTCTTCTTCCCCTGGAAGTCCCCCCCAACCACTATCCCCTGAGTCTTCTCCCCTTTTCCCTCCACTGTCCTCCACTTCCCTCCTCTTCCCCCTGTCTCCCTCAACCTCCCTTTCTTCCCATTCTTCTTGCCTTCAGCCAGTCTCTGTCCTTCTTTCAAAGAGCCCTAGGGAGTAGCTTCTTTTCCCTAGAAATCCACCTCCCATCCACTTCTCTGACCTTCCTCAACCCTCCTCCCAGACTCTGCTCTGTCCCATGGCCTTGCCTTGAGAATTCTTGCCCCTGTTGGCTGGCTACCACCCCTGTCATCACACAGGTCAAGGATTTCACTTTGGTCAAGAATACATCTATTCACATCATCTGTCTTTCAGGCCCAGTCAGGAATGTGTCCCCATCCCACCCCCACTCACAGGAATGGCTTTTCTCTGGTCTGCTTCCTCTAGCCCTCACCCCATCCTGCTAGAAAGCTTTGCACAAATAACCACCAAGCTTTGACAGATCCATTACTCAGCACTTAATACGCCACTGGTATTCATTTGATTCATTCAACAAAAATTTATTGAGCACCTACTGTGTGCCAAGCCCTTGGAGTGTACCCATGAACCAAACATTTGTACCTATTGGTGGGTTGCAGGGTTTGCATTTTTATTCATGATCTCGGTATGTGTCCAGCTGTTCTGAAAACTGGAAGCTCACCAAGAACAAGGGTAAGCTCTCCTCTCCAGGACTTTTAAGATCCTGAACCCTGGGAGCACTCTAAAGGGCCCTGAAGAGGGACTGGTGGAAGGGAATCTGATTAACGTGTTACACACAAACACCATCTATTGAGTGATACTTTTAATGATGGCAGATGGTGGCAGGGTGGGAGAGCAGTGAGATAAACTCATCCCTTCCATTGGGATCAAACACACCAGGCTCTGAGTGCCAGCTCGGCTACTAACTACACAAACAGAGAATCTCTTAACTCTG